GTGTCTGCAGCCCTACGACGGCGAATACACAATTCCATGTGTACTCGCCTGCGGACACACAGCCTGCGAGTCCTGCCTCTCAAACATCCCACAAAAATTTCCTCAAGCGATTCGCTGCCCTGCGTGTACGGTAGTAGTTAAGCTCCCTCCTCAGGGTCCCTCTCTGCTCCCCGAAAGCATGACCTTCTGCGGCTGATCACCGCCTCTCCCCTGCAAAATCCGCCAAAACCGGTTGACAAACGCTCGAATGACCTCCAGATCTCTGTGTCGGCCGTTCCTCCCTCGTCCCCTTTGATATTCAAACTAACGGAGGGGGCTTCATCGCCGTCGGAGTGGGGAGAAAATGCACGGTTGGAAATTGAAATCCATGGGTTTAGGCATGAACTTGATATACACGGTTTTTAAGTTTTTCAAATACATGAGTTAAAACATATGTATTTCCCTTATATTTAATTATATTTTATCTAATTAAAAACAAATATTGATATTAAATTTAAAAGATTAAAATTTAAATATATCTTATCAAATTTATGTTCCCAAACAGAGCATTAATGTTTTTATTTTATAATTCAATAAAATTATTTAACAATTTAATACATGATGAATTGATTATTTAAAGAAAAAAACTTTGGTACACTTAAACTTGTGGTACAATGATTAGTACCATTGAAAAAAGTGCATATCTCTCCCTCCTGAAGCCTGTTCCATGACAAATAGTTCAAAAATAAAAATAAAAACTTTGGTAAATAAATACTCATTTTGGGTTATTTCTTAGATTTTTTTTCATTTTAGTATTTGTATGAGTAAATAATCCATAAAAATAATTTCATGGTTAGGTGATGTTAGCTATAAGAATTGTAAATTTATAATTATTATATATTATTAAATAAATAAATTTATTAATATTATTTAGCTTAAGTTAAAAAAAAGATATTTATTAGTATTACATAGAGATATAAAATAAAAAAATCAATTTTTTTCGCACACTATTATTATAAATTATAGAGTAAATAATCCATTATCCATTATTTCAGTGATAATATTATATAAAATTATAAATTTATAATTATAATAAGTTA